TACCATTTTCATTTGCTTTCCTTAGCTAATTATTCAAACAGCGGGCATGAAAGAGATCACAAAGATCTCTCTGGTTATGGACAGAGATGTAAAGGAATTCTGTTTCCATTAAGAGCCATGACTCTGGCCATGCAGTCATACTCAGATAAGAGGTACAACCATAAGGCACTAATGGAGACAAACAATAGTGGAAAGGCTGCATCAGGCCTCAAAGCCTCATCTGTAGCCTATCTGAAATGGACTCTGAACTGGAGTCCAGCCCCTGCAGCCTACAAGAGCACCATCACTGTCACCACTATATGGAAAGCTAGAATACAAGAGGTCGAAATGCACAGCTACACTGAGAACCTGGCTGGTGTTGGTAGGCTGAGAGGCTGGCAATTTCCTATATTTAAAGTCACCTAAGTGCAGTACAGCATTAGAAAACACTCCATTACAGCATAACTTTGTGTATCAGATATATAGATCTTTTAGATTTGGATTTTATTTTACTGCCCAGTGTAATGCAGCTGCTGCCCATCTCCTAGACAACATTTGATGACATTATGGCAGCTTCAGTAATGATTCAAACATTACTTTAATCATATTCTTATTTATTGGGAGTTGAGCAATATAAGTAGCAGATGCGGCGTGCCCACTACGATCAATGTGCTCATTGCATCCTTGTCAGATGGGCTTGCCATTTGAATTACTAGTTAACTAACTTGAGGGCTGGGACAATGCAATACAAATGGGCACATAATCTGTTTAGGAAAGTTATATATGAAAAATTACATAATTGCATTTAAGAATAAATGAAGGAAAGCTAGACTCAAACATAAATATTAGAGAAATGTGTCCAGAATAATATTTTAAGAAAAATTACGTATGCCAACAGATGTAGATTTTAATTGATTTGTTTTTTTTGTACTTTTACCTTCCTTTTTTCTCAGTATCTTCTTTTATTTTAGAATCAAGAAAAGCATAAAATTAAAATGAAAATAGAAATTTATAAACAATATAAAATTAAATAAAGCATCTTGAAGTTATATTAGATTAGTGTTACATATTAAATCATATCAATTTAAGGCTTCAGAACATTATTAAAATCAAACTGATATTCAACTGTTAACAGCAGCAAGTATAATGAATCACAAAAAATCTAATACAGGTAGTCCCCAGTTGAAGAACAAGTTCCATTCCCAAGGTCTGTCTTTAAATCGAATTTGTATGTAAGCCAGAACAGTATTATTGTGTAATACTGCATAAGTACGTAGTATTGTGTAATCAACTCAAACCACTGCGTATTTATCTCGAATCATTGTGTATTTAACTTGAATTTTGCTAAAACAGGCTCCGTTCTTAACTACGGGTCATCTGTAATCCCTAAATGTTTTCCAAGTTGAATTAAATTATGTAGCAGACTTGTTTTTCAAATATGAGTTTATGTTGCATTGATCACTTATTTTGCTATTCTTCTATAGATTCCTGGAGACTAGTCCCTGAAGTTTTCTTGGCAAGATCTGCAGAAGTGGTTTGCTATTTTTATTATTATTATTTATTATTGCCTTCTTCGTAGGGCTGAGAGAGAGTGACTGGCTTCGTTCACAGTCTCCTGGTTTCTAGCCTAGTGCCTTATTCACTACACCAAACTAGCTCCTTGTAACTCTTTCAGGATTCCTAAATAAGTCTTCAAATTTAAAAGAAGTAAGAACACTTGAAAGTGCATTATTTTTGTTGGCTCAAACATCTAAAGCAAAAAAAGTGAGTTATGGAAAATCAAAAGTATCAATAATTAGTAAGACTACTCCAACTTCATGCAGCTCAACTATTGACATGTATTGGCTAAATTACCTGCTAATATGGACAATGGTATGTATCTTATCACAACAGACGTATAGCAGGGCATAATTTGTTAAAGCCAGTTTGGTGCAGTGGATGAGGTGCTGGCCTAAAAACCAGGAAACTGAATTCTAAGCCTCCCCTAAGCATGAAAGTCTGTTGGGTAACTTTGGGCCTGTCACTCTATCTCAGCCCAAACCACCTCACAGGGCTTTTGTTGTGGGGAAAATAGGAGGCAGAAGTATTAAGTACATTCACCGTCTTGAGTTGACCAAATATTTTTAAAAGGGTGGAATAAAAATATAATAATAAAGCATAGATATGCTATTAGTCAAATATACAGAGATACTGCTATAGCTGTACAGGTAGTCCTCGACTTATGATGCACCTGGGACCAGAATTTTCATCACTAAGCGATGTGGTCATACAGCGCGACCACATTGCTTAGCGACGGTAATCCCTGCAGTCCCAGTTATTATTAACTGAATCCCACAGTTGTTAAGTGAGGCAACTTCCTGTCAACTTCCCACAACCAAAGGCAACTTCCAAGTCCCAGGCCTGCAGGCAAGTAAGTGGCTGCTGCTAGGACAGGGAGGGTCAGGGAGGGTGTGCAAGAGGTGCGGCACAGCCTGGGGAGGGTGTACAAGGGTGCGAGGGAGGGTCAAAGAGGGTGCATGAGGGGGTGAGCAAGAGGTATCATGTGTGTTGGGGAGGGTGCATGAGGGTGCGCAAGAGGCAACATGTGGGTCAGGGAGGGTGCACAAGAGGCACCACGCAGGTCAGAGACAGTATGCAAGAGATGCTGTGCAGGTTGGGGAGGGTGCACAGGGGGGCACAAGTGGCCAGTGCAGCATGAGCACAGAGGGGCTGGGGAGGTTGCACAGGTGGGGGAGACTTACCCCAGTGACTTGTGACCTTCCCTGCCGGCTTTCCCATTGTCTTTCTGGGGAAGCCGGCAGGGAAAGTTGCAAATGGCTATCATGTGATCGCAGGGCGCTTGGTAATTGGTTGTAAATGCCAAGCACCCAGATCACAATCACATGGCCGTGGGGGCACTGCAGTGGACAGAACTCTGAGGACCTGTTGTAACCACCATTCATTCAGCACCGCTGTAACTTAGAATGGTCATTGACCCAAATGGTTTTAAGTCAAAGACTACCTGCATTTCACACATAATAAACATTGTTACTGTTCTTTTAACATTTAAAACTTCTCTGAACTGATTTTTCTCAACAACTTTATTATTTGACTATTTAATTTTATCAGTGATACTATCATGGGTAACAATTCTTTTTGTTTAGGAGAAAATACATTTAGATTTTAGAAATGTAGGTCAGACACGGCCTACTTCAATGAACCCTTTTCCCAACACAAACTCAGCAACAATGTGAAGGGCCAGTATGCTCAGAATGGATACATACAGAAGTTGCATTCTACCTATGTTTGTTGTTCAACCATCTGACAAATATTCAAAAACATGATATGATGAGCACATAGCATGGAATTGCAGTCTTTCTTCTCTTTCTCTCTCACATCTTGTCCATAAATCTCAACTAATGCAGGAGCTCTCAATGCTGAGACTAAAAGAATTACTATATGGATGCAAAAGTAAAAAACTCTCCATTGCATATTCTGAGTTTGTTCATGAGGAAAAAAAATGCATGTATGCTCTTAGAGCACCAGCCATTTGAAAAAAGCCTATAATGTTTGTAGTTATGCATTACAGATTAAAAGTAAACAATTCACTTCCACGTATTGAAGAGGGCAACAATAATTTATTACAAGTCATATTTTAGCTCTTTTTCCCTTTATACCACCAAATATATTTTTTCAAAATAGCAACAAAGAAGACATACGCTTGTAAGATAAATGTTGCGGTCCAAAGAACACTTACAAGGAGGCAAATATTCTTTATATCCAAGTAAACATGCTTAGGTTCCTGGTATAAATGTAAAACACAAATCTAGGGATACAGTTCCTAAAAAATAGTGTAAATGTTTTGCTTTTAACAATTTACTCTATAGTTCTAGAACTGTAGATCCTTACAATAGCTAAAGCTTCACAGGAAAGAGAAAGAGAGGTCCAGTTACAGTACCTTGTTAAGAATCAAAGAACCAATAATCCTAGATTATTTGTATGGAAAGTCCAAATCTAGTATTTTAACAGTAGGGTAATCATATGAGGTTTTAGTAGAAAAAACAACACAAAATAAGCTCACTATACTATATTCTAGTATACTATGTTACACAATTTCACTTTTTGCAAACACTCCACTTACCCTGGAGCAGTTTGATATCATTCCATTCAAATGCCACATTTAAATGTATGATTTCCTATGCAGACAGATGAAATCTAGAATTATCAATATCTATAGTTCATCACTTTCAATCTGTCAACTTCACTAATTTTAGCCTATTCCTATCAGTTATTAATGTATAAGAAACAGCAGAAGATTGTTTAAATTAAATGTTGATTTTTGTATTGTACTGTTTTAATTACACATAATGTGGAGATGTTATAATTAAATCTCTTGATTTTTTAGAACCTTAAAGCTGCCCCTGGGGTTAGGTTGAACTGTATCAAGACATGAATATCAGTGTGGGAAAGGTGGTTAAATCTTTCCCCAATTCTATTTTATTGATTTAAATTGACCTTCCTGAAGTTGCTATCAGGTCCACCACAATACAGACATTGAGATTTTTTCCCCATAATAAAAAAAATAGTAGGTTCTTATGTTTTGTATCTATGTGAAGTCAGTCAAGAAAGAAATGAACAACCTCTCCCTAAGTACTATATTGCCTTGACACAATTCAGTGCTACCTCCTTACTCCAGCTGGTTCTGTGTGTTTGCTTTTAAACTAGGATGCACAGTTTAGCTCTTACATTTCTGACTAATCTATAGTTTCATTCAACTTTTGCTCTGAAAACCATGTGTATAAAAAGCAAATTAAAAAAATCCTATCAAATACTGGAATCATGCAGATTTAGAACTCTTAAGAAAAGGAGGATACACAAAATTCATTTATAAAGCTCTACTGAAATTAGACAAAATCATATTTTAAAACATCAGCATGAAGAACTTAAACTCACAGTAATTTTATGCTTCTATTATATTTTAAATACTGTACTTAAAATAAATTGCCCTCTAGTTAAAAGGCAAATAGAAAAAAAGACCTTACCTTTCTCACTAACACTTTCACTTTCAATTTCTACATCATCACAGCTTGTATATTCCGGGGTAGAAGCCAACTCTTCTTCAGAGCTGCTCAGTGATACCTGACGCATTTTACCTCCTTTTTTTGTTTTATGAGGCTTTGGTGGTGGAGGCCTAACTGATTCAGACTGGTCTGAACTCAATGAATCATTTCTTAACATGGTTTCCATTTTTTCACGTTTTGTCTTCCGTACAGCTGAGCTTGGATCTAAATGATGCTGTTTTCTTAATGAATCAGTTCTCCTCATATCTGGCCTATCAAAAGGTATTGGACTCCTCCTAGGTGTTGGAGGACTGTGATTTGTGGTTCTCTGCCGATTGGGACTTAGTCCCTGAGTTCTTTCCATTGAATATGAACGCTGGTCCATGGCAGCTCTGCGTTCAGATGCAGACCTTTGCCTCGATGGTCGGTCCATTCTCATCACTGAAATCCGGGAATCCTCCAATTCGGTATTTGCCAAAGACACATCACTGTGCCTTCTTTCATGACGTGCACGTGAGACTTCAGCATGAATGCGCATTTGCTCTTCATATGGTTGTGGTTTGACAGGATAACGAGCCAAATTAGGATCACTTCGGTATCGTGCTTGATATTCTTCTTCCCTCCGCTGCCTTTCATATTCCCCTCTATTCTGTACATCATCTTCCTCTAAAGGATATTCCCTTGAACGCCTACGATTTCTCCTACTAGAATCCCTATAATCATCAATTTCAGGTTCTTCATATGGTTGCAATCCATGTTGTGAATGTCTGTCTGTATAATCTGATGGTGATCTTGGCATTGCAGCATCTGATGTTGCATACTGTGAATAGTCGTCTCTCTCCTCCAGCTGGCTGAACCTTCTGTTCTGATCCCTGGGTATTGATGGGCTTCTTTTTCTAAGCAATAAAAAAAAACTTACTTAAAATGTATCTATTACAAATTAATTCAAAAATTATTTATTCCAAATCACTGAGCTACAATAATGTATTCTTTCTTTACATGACCCACCTGTTCATAACCCACTCTAATGGATGTATGTTATTTTAAATTCCACTACTCTTACAGAGCTGATGTGACATAATACCTAAGAGATAGAACTACAAATTAAGAAGTACCAAGTCAAATTTCTTATCTGTCAGAAATATGACAGTTGGATGAAACCAAATGTTTTAGTATACCATCTATTCCCTTTATTTCATATGCCTGAAGAAATCTGGAGAAGATTCATGGGTTACTGTCATTCAGGAAAAGAAGAGTCAAAAAAAGTTTTGTTGAATTTCATTAAATATATTTTGGGTGTGTGTGTGTCTATATGTATCTACCCATCACTTAGGATTTTACCCATAGTGGACTAAAGAAAAGGAGAAAGCAGTTTCACAAAATTATCTGACAGGGTTGTTAAACATAGCAATATATGCACTTTACAAAGTCTGTTTCTTTTATGAAGTAAAAATATTAACCATGATTTTTAATTTCTATCATAAAATCACATTAAATTTAAATATTAACAAATTAAGAACAGATAATACAAATATCAACAGAAACATCTGCATGATCACAATTTACAGTATATTATCTTTTACAATTTTAGGATCCCCTTATAATAACTTCCATATCTCTCTTGTTCTATAACAAAATGGAAAACAGGCAAACAAAAAAAGCAAAAGGAATGCTCAGAAAAGAAACTAATATTTTTCTTCTTTCCTGTTTAATGCTTCTTTGAAAGTTTTCACAAATGCTTAACTATTTAAAATTATTTCATTAACTTGAAGTCCAAAGAAAAATACTTAAGGATTGTGTATGACATCTTTATACAGTTTTGCAGTATGTCTTAGTAAAATGTAGCATCCAAGGCACAGACAGCAGAGATTCAAAAGTCATTACTTACATCCATAAAGAATAAAGATAACACGCATTGTTATTCACGTATGTTAACATACAGTGGTACCTCGGGTCATGAACTTAATTCGTTCTGCGACTCTGGTCGCAACCCAAATCAAATTTTCCCATAAGGTTCAATGTAAATACGGTTA